TCCAATTAATTGACCGCTCAAATAATTATAAGTAATTTTGTAAACTACATTTATGTAATTAAATTTATGCAGTACTTTTGAAGTATTAACGACATCTTTAACAAAACTAAACATACAATATAATTTTAAATCGTACTTTTTTATAAAATAATATAAATAATAGCCGATTTTTTTGGTTTTTTGAGATTTTTAAAAATTTTAAAACGTTAACGGAGCGAGAAAACTTCAGATTCAAATTCAGCGGAAAAAAATACATGAAAATCATACTCAATCTGAGTCCAAAAAAATTTTTATTTCGAAAACTTTAGTTTTTCATGATTTATTGCAATTTTTTTAGGTTTTTCGTTTTTTTTTTTTTTTCAAATTTGGACGGTTCATGGGGCTAATTTACTTTTAGATTTGAATTCAGCACATTGAAATACATCAAAATCATACGTGATCCGCGTCCACAAAAATTTTTTTATTGCTGTAATTGCAGTTTTTTGCAGTTAACGAAGTAGCCACTTTACGCCTCCGTCGAGGAAAAAAATAGTATACACTCCTCGGGAAGTAAATAAGAAAGCCTCAGATCACATGTAATTGTTGGCCGAGGCGAAGCCGACATTTCTTACTTTACTTCCCTAGGGGTGTAATGTACTATTTTGTCGCAAAGCAGACATTTTATAATTTTTCAGCCACACAGCAGACTGTTTATAGTTTATTTTTTCCTGCAAAACAGACATTTAATAATTTTTCAGACGAACAGCAGACTGTAAATTTATTTATTTTGAATCGCACAGCACTCTTAATTTTGTTTTGTCTCAAAGCAGACATTTAATAATTTTTCGGCCGTACAGCAGACTGTGGATTGATTTATTGTATATCGCACAGCAGACTCTCAATTTTTTTTGTCCCAAAGCAGACTATTAAAGTTTTTACTGCTTAGTCGCACAGCAGACATTTAATTTTTATTTTGTCGCAAATTTGAAATTTAATTATTTTTCACCTGAACAGCAGACTATAGATTTACTTATTTTGAAACGCACAGCAGACTCTTAATTTTTTTTTTGTCGCAAAGCGGGCATTTAATAATTTTTCAGCCGTACAGCAGACTGTAGAATTGTTTATTTTGAATCGCACAGCAGACTCTTAAATTTTTTTCTGTCGCAAAGCCGACATTCAATAATTTATTTTGAATCGCACAGCAGACTATTATTTTTTTTTTTTGTCGCAAAGCAGACATTTAATAATTTTTCAGCAGCATAGCAGACTCTTAATTTTTTTTTTTTTGTTGCAAATCAGATATTCAATAATTTTTCAGCCGCACAGCAGACTGTAGATTTATCTATTCTGAATCGCACAGCAGACTCTCAATTTTTTTTTTTGTCGCAAAGCAGGCATTTAATAATTTTTCAGCCGCACAGCAGACTGTAGATTTATCTATTCTGAATCGCACAGCAGACTCTCAATTTTTTTTTTTGTCGCAAAGCAGGCATTTAATAATTTTTCAGCCGCACAGCAGACTGTAGATTTATCTATTCTGAATCGCACAGCAGACTCTCAATTTTTTTTTTTGTCGCAAAGCAGGCATTTAATAATTTTTCAGCCGCACAGCAGACTGTAGATTTATCTATTCTGAATCGCACAGCAGACTCTCAATTTTTTTTTTTGTCGCAAAGCAGGCATTTAATAATTTTTCAGCCGCACAGCAGACTGTAGATTTATCTATTCTGAATCGCACAGCAGACTCTCAATTTTTTTTTTTGTCGCAAAGCAGGCATTTAATAATTTTTCAGCCGCACAGCAGACTGTAGATTTATCTATTCTGAATCGCACAGCAGACTCTCAATTTTTTTTTTTGTCGCAAAGCAGGCATTTAATAATTTTTCAGCCGCACAGCAGACTGTAGATTTATCTATTCTGAATCGCACAGCAGACTCTCAATTTTTTTTTTTGTCGCAAAGCAGGCATTTAATAATTTTTCAGCCGCACAGCAGACTGTAAATTTATTTAATTTTAGTCGCGCAGCAGCCTTCTAAATTTTTTTTTGTCACAAAATAGACATTTAATAGTTTATCAGCCTCACAGCAGATTCTTATTGTATTAATTATTAGTTTCTCAGCAGACTTGTCAATTTTCGTTTGTCGCAAAGCAGACATTGAATAGTTCATCAGCCGCACAGTAGACTGTTAATATCTTTTTTTTTGCAAAGTAGACATTCAATAATTTATTATTTTCTCTGCAGTTTATGAATTTATTTATGTCTTGGTCACACAGCAGACTTTTTATATTTATTCAGCTGCACAGCAGACTGTTAATTTTTTTATTGCTCAGTCGCATAGCAGACTTGTCAATTTTTATTATTTCTAGTCGTAAAGCAGAGTTTTAATAGTTTATTAGCCGCACAGAAGATTAAGTATTTTTATTTTCTAGTCTTAAAACTGACTTAATAGTTCTTTAGCTGCACAGCATACTGTAAATATCTTTATTTTTTTGTCGTACCTCAGACTGCTAAAATATTCATCTGTTAGCCGCACAGCAGACTTTTAATCTATCTATTTCTTAGTTGCAAAGCAGACTTTTTATAGTTTATCAGCCGCACTGCAGACAGTTTATGTATTCATTTCTTTCTTTCTCAAACAGCAGACTTCTAATATCTTTTCTACAGTAGAAATTTTTTTACAATAGAATAAAAAAAAATCCTAAATTACATACAAGAAATAACTGTATATTCACAGTCATATTGCTATTCAGTACAAATATATAAATATATATACTTACGTATATACATGTATATTTCTGTCTTCAGATATATGTAATGTTATTTTCTAATTAAACATTAATAAATATAAAAATATACAGAAATATAAATATAAACGTATATTCAGACATGTATACATTCGTCTATTGAAGATATTAAAGTTGTAAATTATTACAATCAATCAATATCTTGTTAATAATAAATAAACTTTAAAAAAAAAAATAATTTACTAATTTTATTCATTATGTGAATAGTTAGGTTATGTTAAATTTATTGCAACGTCACCAATCCACAGACCCGGTAAAGTTTGGCGCCAAGTCCCGTTTTTGATGTATACTAATCTTTTATGTATACTAAGTACATTTGTTAATTCGTCGGCAATGGATGCATTCGGTTCACCTAAGTTGTAACTGTGAGTTAGTACACATGCGTACACTTACAACTTTAATAACTTACTAAATTAAGTACAAAATTAGAAATTTTTGTTGGTCGAACACGCCCATTTACTAATGTCACACCTAAGCGTCACTACTGATCAGGCTGATCAGGGGTGGGCACGTAAAATACTATACGTATAATACTGTTATGCTTTCATCTAGTGGATGTTATTTTTATTTATTTAAAACTTTACTTACTGTAGTTCTTTCGCCCGGGAGTATTAAAATACTCGGTTTCAGTGCGGGAAAGGAATAATTTTAAATAAAAGAATTCTATTTAGACGTAGTTTAATTTTGATCAAAATTATTTAGTTCTTTTTAATTTATTATTCAAGTTGACAAGATATTAAAAGCTTGAAAATATAAAATTGAGGTTTACAATGACGTGATCTTAGCAATCTAATCTCTCGATGAGAAGTGTCGTTACATAGTTTTTCCGAAGATCTTCAAACTCCGTTCTTCTCCCACCATAACTTCCACACATACATCCACTCTAAGGAATAATGTATAATGATCCTTATACACTAACATGTATTTTCTCTATATCTATATATATTTACTTCAGCCTATCGGCCTGAAAGTTGGACTTCACTTATATATACTTTTAGCAATACAGTCATTATGTTTATTCAACTATTCTTATTAATTTAACAAACCCTTTTTAAAATCTATTTATAATAAAATTAACTTATAATTAACTTGAAATTAAGTTACAATAAAATTATAATAAACTATAACATGAAACTATATATATTATATTATTTATAATATGTTGGACTAATGTTTGAGTTTGAATAATTAATAATTTGGATTAAATATTATTTCTATCATTTTACATTCGAGTTTTCTAATAAAATTATAAGTCAGTTTAATTATTATCCTGTATAAAAGAATAGATATTATTATTTAATTATAAATTAAATAATAATTAGATAATGATTTAATAGTAAATTAGTTAACTAATAATTATTAGTTATAAATTAAATATAAGATACTAATTATTAATTATTTTAACTCAATTTTGCTTAACTACAATATTATATAAAGTTAGATTTTAACAGTAAATGTTATTTAACAATATTATTTTTGTTTAGTTACATATGTTTTTTTTTTATTATTCTTTGTTACTTTAGAACAAGGGTCTATTGATTTCACACGTGTCTTTTACGACTTTTCCTCATAGGGTTTTAAGTTTCATCTGGCGAGAGTCCTTGAATTACTCAAGTACTTTTTATGGGTTTTGAAAATTCGGTTACAATGTACCTTTGTACCGAAATATGTTTTTTTTTTATTTTATTTTTTTTTCTTTTGTAAATAAAACAGAGTTAACCAAAAGATGTTTATTTTACAACTGGTAAGAGTAAAAGCATTAAATAAAGGACTGGAATATTTACTTCGAATATAAAATTTAACTAATTTTAATCATTTAATATTTACTAGTTTCAATATTTCGTTTGAATTCGCGCTCTCATAATAGATAGCGCTCTAATAACAGGTAGCGTCACCTGTTGGATGCACTGGGTGCATCACAGTATCACAGGTCTTTTAGGATAAACACAAATCTTTAGGTTATGAAATAATTTTCATGAAAAGCGCGCCTTTAATTAAAGAACGCTAAATAAATTGCGCGGGAATATTTACGCCATTGTTCAGATTGCTCGCAGTAACATAGTATATATATGTGTAAACGACTTAACGACACTAAGAAAAATTATCAAGTGAATTACGCAGCTGGCAGTTGTTGATGTTCTTTTGGTAAATCATTAACTTTTTTGTTAATTTTTATATTTGATAGTTTTTGAATGATTTAATAATCAATAAAAATGATTCCGTTGACTCAAGGAGCATTAAATGTAAGTAATCTTTATTTTACGTGCTGATAATAATTATCTTGTTATTATAATCAATTGATTTTTTTCAGGAAATCGCCCAGGGGATTGAAGTTGACAAGCCCGTTTTTCAGATTCTGGTAAATTTTGTTTGTATTAATTAATTTTTTTTTAGTAAAAAACTGGAAAATAATTTTATTATTGTTTGGTTATGTGTCTTTCAGGGAACCAAGAGATTAGCAAGCACTGAGAGTGAACGCTACAGATTGCTTTTGTCCGATGGAGTTACGAGCAATTCATTTACAATGCTGGCTACCCAGCTCAATGGTATGGTTACAAATAATGAATTGTCGGATTTCTCTATCATTGAGATTACTCGCTACGCATTGACCAATGCCAATAATGCCGGAAAAATGAGGTAATTTTATTTTGTGATAAGAATTTAATATCACAAGTGCTGAATAAATATTATTTACATATTGCCATTTAAATATTTAAATATTGCCATTAAATAACTAACAATTTTTGATCATTTTTTATGATACTAATATTGAGAGGCATCTGCTAATTTTTTAACTCATGAATTATAGCAAGAAAAATATGACATTAAAATTAGTAGTTACTTGAACATTTTTTTATTTTATTTAACAAACAAATTTGCTTCAAAAATTATTTTTAAAAAATTGCATTTTTTATTTTTTTAAATTTCTACATGTCAATTTTTTTTCTAATTTTCTTGCCATAATTTATTTGTTCTAAAAATTCTAAAAAATTATCAAATATCGGCTAAATTAATTTTCATAAGAAAATGACATTAACGTCAACAGTTACTTGAATATTTTTTAATTTTATTTAACAAACAAATTTGCTTCAAAAATTATTTTTAAAAAATTGCATTTTTTGTTTTTTTTAAATTTCTACATGTCAATTTTTTTTTGTAATAGTTTTTTTGCCATAATTTATTTGTTATAAAAATTCTAAAAAATTATCAAATATCGACTAAATTGATTTTCATAAGAAAACGACATTTAAGTTAGCAGTTACTTAAACATTTTTTAATTTTATTCAACAAACAAATTTGCTTAAAAAAATTATTTTTAAAAATTTGTATTTTTCATTTTTTTAAATTTCTACATGTCAATTTTTTTTATTTTTTTTTTTTTTTTTGCCGTAATTTATTTGTTACAAAAATTATCAAATATCGACTAAATTAATTTTCATAAGAAAAACTTATTTTAAAAATTCCATCTTCAAGAGTCTCTAAAAAGTCATAAGTGCAATTTTTAAAAAATAGTTTTCTAGACAGTTTATTATTCAAAAAAGTAAAAAAATTGTCAAGTGTCTGCTAAATTCAATGATATTAATAAATTTAGCCGATATTTTTAATTTTTTGATTTTGTTTAATTTATTAAATTAGAACTAAAAAATTTTTTTAAAAAATTGCAATTATAGTTTTTGAAGTTTTTTACAATTGAAAAAATTAAAAAAAAATTTTGAAATAATTTTTTTAATACAAAAAATTATAAAAATTTCTAGATGTCAACTAACATCATTTTCATAATTCAATATCATGATTTTGTTAACAAATGAACTATTTAGAAAATTTTGACAAAATTAAAAAAAAAAAATATGATTCCAATTTTCAATAAATATTTTTTTTCGTACTAGTTTATTTTATAAAATAAAATAAAAAAAAATTTTTTAGTTTGATTATGATTTTTTTATAATTAATATTATCAAGAGAACTAACTCTATTTTCTATCTCAATTTAACAGAAAAATTATGGTAATTCTGGGAATCGAAGTCAAAGTACCCGGTCATCAAGTTCCTGGAAAAATTGGTAACCCAACACAACAAGGAAAAGACGGTGCTGCTAGTGGAGACATGAGACCCACTCAGCCAGTCACAGGCTCACCGAATGAGAGTTTTGACCAAACCCAAAATAAGAGACCTGCTGCAAATGCTGTACAACCGAGTAAGCTTTGATGATTCATTCAATAATGACATTTAGCAGCAAAATGTATATAGATTATTTTATTACTATTAAAATGCTCGTAGAAAAAACTAGAATTTATAAAATTGATTAGATATCAAATATTATCAAAGAACAAAAGCATGTATGAAATTTCAATATTTTAATTGGATATTAATTTTTTAACAGATGCTAACGCTGCTCAAAAACGTCGTTTAAATGAATCTTTGAACGCTGGAACTTCTATAATGACTAGTCCTATCGCTGCATTGAGTCCGTACCAAAATAAGTATGTTTAAATTTTTACTTGAAGCTAACAGTTATTTATCTTGCAAGTCTTTAATTTATTCATTAAATATATTTATATTTATTCTGTAATTAGGTGGGTAATCAAAGCTAGAGTTGCTAATAAATCCGATATCAGAACATGGAGTAACTCTCGTGGAGAAGGAAAACTATTCAACATGACACTGGTTGATGAAAGCGGTGAAATAAGATGCACTGGATTCACTGATTCTGTTGATAAATTCTACAATATAATTGAAGTAATTATTTCATTTTTATTTTAAAAACTAGTAAATTTATTTGACTTAATTAAATTATATTATTTACAGACGGGAAAAATTTATTATATATCACGCGGTACTTTGAAAGTGGCGAATAAAAATTACAATACCACGAACAATGATTACGAAATGACTCTAAACAATGACAGCGAAATTGTCCCTTGTCATGAAAGTTGTGAAGAGATACCGATGATGAATTTCAATTTTGTCTCTATTGATGAAATTGAGCGCCTAAATAAAGATGCCATTATTGGTACGTAATAAAAAATCAAAATTTTTTTTGGTAATTTACAAGTAGGGTCAACCATTTTAATTGTCATTTTTTTGAACGAAAGTTCAAAAAATGAACAATTAAAAAAAAAAAAATTATCACAATTTTAACAAATTTTTTAGAAAATTGTGATATTCAACTTTTTTTCTTAATTGTTCGTTTTTTATGTACAGTGCGCGTCATTGATTCGTACTGGTTGAAAAATTTTAAGGTAAAATAGAAAAATCAAAATTTCGACATCTGTAAATAAAAAAAATCAATAAAAGGAAAATCTTTATAAGGATCAATTTGAACAAAATTGAAAAAATAATTTACTGAAAATAAATAACTCAAAATATCAATCACGATTAAAATATAAATTAAAATTATCACACACTTTATAAAATAAATAAAAGTAAAATTTTAATATTAAAAAAAAAAGATAACGATATAATTAGATTGAATTGAATTGGGGGGGGGAGGAAGGGGTAGGGATATTGTAACTGACATTGGGCTAAGCACTCAGTCCTGTTGGACCATTGTACTCAGCCCTCCTAGGTCAATTACTTTATGTCGCCGAGGAATTGGCCAGGCCTGTCTGCTTCAGAAAGTGGAGCAGCCGTCCCATACCAATCTCCAGCACATCGATCGACTCTCCATTGCGGAATCCTAGTATGTTCTCTCGAACTGTTTCTAGTTCCTCGCAATGGAGGATTAGGTGTCGAGGAGTTTCCTCCTCTAATCGACATCTGGGGCATACAGAACTCTCTGAGATGCCCATATGCTTTAGATGTCTGCCAGTTGTCCAATGTCCTGTGATGAACCCGACAGTTAGCCTAAGCGTTTTCTTGTCGAGCCCTATCAAGGACAGGCCTAGTGTCCTAGAGGGTCCTTTTATTAGTGCCCTCGTATGCAGCATGCCTTTTGCTTCAGGCCACACTTCTTGGAACTTATTGTCAGCCCATTGAGAAGTGTGTTGCTTAATGAGGCTGAAAGGCGCTGCTATGTTGACCACTGGCTCAGAATCCCTCTTGCGGGCTCCTGCCTTCGCCAGTTCATTCGCTCTGTCGTTTCCTGCGTTCCCGCTATGACCCGGTATCCATAGGAGTTTGACTCTGTTATATATCGCCAGTTCGTCCAGCGACTTTATGCAGCTACGCACCAGCCTCGAGGACACTTCTATTTGTTCTAGTGCTCTGAGCGCAGCGCAACTATCGCTACAGATGTAGATGTGCTTGTTTCTGTGATTGAGCTTTTTGATGTGCTCTACACAGGCCCAAATCGCATATACCTCTGTCTAAAAAATCGATGCAGTGTCCCCTAATTGCAGAGAAATTTCTGTTTTTGGTCCACTACTGTAGATACCAGCCCCTGCCCCTCTTTCCATTTTGGAGCCGTCCGTATACCAGACTAGCCCCGCTGGGGACAGGATGCTCTTACTTTCTTCTTCCCATTCCTGCCTGCTTGGGATGAAGACTCTGTAGTGATGATTGAAGTGGTAACTACGAGGGCTCATGTCTCCTCCCTGGGCTAGGAACCCATCGAGTCCCCTATCCCTTAGGATGGATGCATGTCCCGTCTTAGTCCTTGTCCAGTAACCGTTAAAATGCAGTCTCATTGCTGTTTTCATAGCAAGAACTTGCTGTGATGTGTGGGGGCTCCAGGTTCAGGAGTGCCCCCATTGCCAGGGTAGCTGTGGTTCTTAGAGCCCCAGTTATCCCTAGCAAAGAAAGTCTATAGACCTTAAATAGTGTCTTGATGTTGATGTTCTTCTTAAGGGAAGCCCACCACACCACAGAGGCAAAGGTGAGCTGTGGTACCAAAATTGCAGTGTATATCCACTTGATCAATTTCGGTCTCAGACCCCATGTTATGCCAAATATTCTTCTGCATGCCCAGAAAGTGGCAGTTGCTTTCTTGGTCTGCTTTTCTATGTGGCTTCTCCACGTGAGCTTACTGTCCAGAGTTACGCCTAGGTAGCGTACCTCCTTTGAGAATTTAAGCTCCGTGCCAAAGATTGAGGGAGCTGTGATTTTCAGTTTCCTCCTTTTATATAATTAGATAATTTTAAAATTAATCAATTATAAATATAGGCATTGGATAAAATATAATAGACTAAATTCAGAGAAGTCAGTAAAAAGACATTTGAATATTTATAATTATAATTATAAAAATATTGATAGTTATTAATATATAAATTCTTAAAAAATAGACATCTCTAAATATAGACTAGAAAATTTAGAAAACTGTGATTTTAGACATCCGTAAATTTTTACTTATATTAATTTATAAATTCAAATAAAAATACAATTAAAAATATAATTGCTTTCAATTTATGAGCTAATAAAAAATTGAAACAATATTTCTATAAGGCTCTAGAGCACTAGACCAAAACCCTTGAATGTTTACGGAGTCGGTTCTCCAGGAGTTTGCGGATCAAGCAGCGGTGAGATTCCCCGCGCTCCAAATAATAACCTAGACATTTTTAAAATAGTGAGTGTCGTATTTATCCTAGTTAACTACTCATGGAGGTTCACGGAGTCGGTTCACCAGGAGGTTGTGGATTAGGCTGCTGCGGGATTCCTTGCGCTCCAAATAAATAACTTAGATATTTTTAAAATATTAAGTAATGTATTTATCAGAGTTAGCTACTCATGGGGGTTTACGGACCCGGTTCTCTAGGAGGTTGCGGATCAGGCAGCGGTGAGATTCAACAGAAAATGACAATTTCACTGGTGAATCAGTGGATTTCTACTGATTTAACCAGTGGACATAAAAGCGCACATGCGCGCAGATATTTTGTTCACTGATTCAACCAGTGAATTTCACTGATTCACCAATGAAATTCACTGGCTGGAATCATCAGTGAAATTCCACTGGTGAACCAGTGGAATTCCACTGATTTTTTTTAAGAGAGTAGGTTATTATTTGGAGCACGGGGATTCTCACAGCTGCCTGATCCGCAACCTCCTAGAGAACCGGGTCCGTAAACCTCCATAAGTAGCTAACTCTGATAAATACGACACTTACTATTTTAAAAATTTTTAGGTTATTATTTGGAGCGCGGGGAATCCTGCAGCAGCCTTATCCACAACCTCCTGGTGAACCGACTCCGTGAACCTCCATGAGTAGTTAACTAGTATAAATACGACACTCACTATTTTAAAAATGTCTAGGTTATTATTTGGAGCGCGGGGAATCTCACCGCTGCTTGATCCGCAAACTCCTGGAGAACCGACTCCGTAAACATTCAAAGGTTTTGGTCTAGTGCTCTAGAGCCTTATAGAAATATTGTTTCAATTTTTTATTAGCTCATAAATTGAAAGCAATTATATTTTTAATTGTATTTTTATTTGAATTTATAAATTAATATAAGTAAAAATTTACAGATGTCTAAAATCACAGTTTTCTAAATTTTCTAGTCTATATTTAGAGATGTCTATTTTTTAAGAATTTATATATTAATAACTATCAATATTTTTATAATTATAATTATAAATATTCAAATGTCTTTTTACTGACTTCTCTGAATTTAGTCTATTATATTTTATCCAATGCCTATATTTATAATTGATTAATTTTAAAATTATCTAATTATATCGTTGTCTTTTTTTTTTTAATATTAAAATTTTACTTTTATTTATTTTATAAAGTGTGTGATAATTTTAATTACTAATATTTTTAATTTCTATTTTAATCGTGATTGATATTTTGAGTTATTTATTTTCAATAAATTATTTTTTCAATTTTGTTCAAATTGATCCTTATAAAGATTTTCCTTTTATTGATTTTATTTACAGATGTCGAAATTTTGATTTTTCTATTTTACCTTAAAATTTTTCAACCAGTACGAATCAATGACGCGCACTGTACTTTAAAAAAAAATCAAAAAAAGATAAAATAGAAATTTTATCCAAAAACATGAGAGCAAAAATTTTTTCCAACTTTTGAAGGCAAAAAAGTTATCGAAATCTTTATTTTTTTCTTTCACGACATTTTTTATCATAAATGAAACCCATTCGCAAACAATAATAATAATTTTTTTTTTTTTTTCTAATTTATATAAATTTTTTTTTAGATGTAATTGCCGTCGTAAAGTCTACTGTTGATGTCCAGACTCTTACGGCAAAACAGACTGGCCGAGAATTGAAGAAACGGGACGTCTTTCTCGTAGATACCTCAAACACTTGTGTAATTATTATAAAGTCTAAATAAAGTAAAAAGGATTTTTTACTTAATTTCTAATATTTTTAAATTTTATTCAGGTCACTCTTACACTCTGGGGGACTCAAGCTGAAAATTTTGACGGATCCAACAATCCAGTTATCGCACTGAAAGGTGTTCGTATTGGAGAGTATCAGAATGGAAAAACTTTGTCAACTATTTCATCAACAGCGATGCAAATAGACCCTGATATTCCTGAAGCTCATAGGTAATGCTTAGTCAAATTTTAAAATTTGAACTTTTTTTTTTTAATACAAGGGGCATTCGATAATGACTGGTAGGACATTTGACTCTGGAATTCCATCAATTATAAGCTATAATTATGTGACTGAAACTTATTAAAGTAAAATATAAACTTTTAATAATAATATATATTTGTTTATTCCAGACTGCGTTCCTGGTTCATCAACGAAGGACAAACCACTGAAGTAAAATCAATATCTAAAGCCGCAAGTGGTCCATCCCAATGGCTGTCAATACAAGACGCTGAACAAGAAGCTCAATCAGCAGGAACTAAGCCAGTAAATTTCACGTGTAAAGCAGCTATCAGTATAATTCGCGCCGAGCGTGCTTTGTACAAAGCTTGTCCCACTGATGGTTGTAACAAAAAGGTAATTTTAATTCCATTCTAGCATTTTTAGTAAAAAAAATTCCTCAGTTTTTATTATAATAAAAAATTTTTTTCGCCAGATTGTTGAGGTAGGCAGTACCATGTTCCGATGTGAGAAATGTAACAAAGATTTCCCTAATTTCCGTTGGCGTTTGATAGCAAGTGTAAGTAAAAAAAAAAAAAATTGTTTTAGTATAATTGGTTAACTAAAATTTTTAAATTTCTAGATGGCTATCACGGATTGGTCTGGTAATATGTGGGTCACGGTATTTAACGAATCCGCTGAAAAAATCTTGGGTACCAGCGCTGAAGAGATTGGGGAACTTTGTGTAAACCAATCAGAGGCCTACAATGATAAATTTGCTGAAATTACATTTGATTCTTATATTTTCGAAATTAAAATGAAGATGGAAACTTACAATGTAATTATTATAAAATTTAATTTTGTCATAAATTAGATGAATTTTTATGATAAATATTAAAAATAAATTTTTTTATTTTTCAGGATGAACAACGGATGAAATCAAGTGTCGTAGCAATCCAACCAATTGACTACTTAACTTACAACAAGCGATTGATTAGCGAGATTAAAAAATGCGCTAATATTCACGATGTTAATGCAAAATAACTTCCTGTTTATCATTTTTTGTTACAAAAATTTTCTGTTGTGAAGTATTCAGAAAATCCAAAACGTACTACCTGTTTTTCTCCTTAACCATTTGGATAGTTCTAAATTATTAATCATTATAATAGATATGTAAACAACACTGTTTAATGTAACTCAACAATATAGAAATTCTCACAGATTTTTAATTATTCTAACATTCTTGAATTATTTATTACTTGTTACTACGTTGGAATGAAGTCTGGAGATATTTTTTGTATTGGCAATTTTTTGATAATAAACATCCATCAAACTGATTTTTTATAATTACTTATTTTAAAGTCTTACATTTAGTATATAAAGTAAAAATATAGAATATAACTTTTAAGTGCTAACTCAGTTGTATTTGTGTTGTAAAATTGACATTGTTTAATTTATTAACTTTATTTTTAATTTTGTCTAGTAGATTTTATCAACTACCGCGTGTTACTTATAATTATTTTTAGAGTTTATTTCATGAATTATTATGAAAAAATATTGCGTGTAAAAATTAAAAAAAAATATGAATGTAAATTTAGAAAAAAAATTATCAACTAATTTATTTTTCAGTAAATCTAAAAATTGTATCTGCTGAGGTCAAAAAAATTAAATTTTAAAATATAACATAAAATGATGCTGAAATTTAAATACATCTGTTAATTTTTTAGATTATTTAAAAAATTTTTATTAATAAAAGAGTTCCACATTAAGAAATTAAAAAAAATTACAAGTACAAATTTTTTATAATTTATTTATAACAAAGAACAAAAATATTTTCTATGGTCTGCTGATTTTATTATCATTAATAAAAATTAAATTTTTATTAGTAGAATTTTTACAAAATTAATTAATAATTATGGAAGTTAAGCAATTACGGATTCTGATAGAAAATTAAAGCAGTATTTATGAAAATTAAATTAGCTGACATTCAAGAATTTTTATAATTTTTTTTAATGAAAAGAAATTTTGAAGAAACAGTTTAAGTGAAAATTAAAACTAATAGTTTACAATATTTATGATTATGATTTTAAAGATTTTAATTTTAATAATTTTAATGATTTAACTGAAAATTAAGTTTGAATTTAGATATCTAAATTAAAAAGGTAATCATAAAGCTTATTTTTAAAAATTTCTGTACTGGGAGCATTTATCACATCGATTGGTAATTCTTCCCAAAGACGAATGCAAGTAACTACAAATGATAACTCATAAATAGTTGTCGCAAATTTAGGTAACTTGAAATTTACATAATTCTTTTTTGCTGCAAGTCTTACAGAATCTCTAGTATCAATATCTTCAATAAATAGTTCTCGTAAGTAGCTAGGTTTGCCTAGCTAAGATTTCCAATTTACAAGTTAATGATTAAAATTAATTGTCAATTATTAAATTGACTAGATTAACGATTCCTTATTCTACTCCTTCTTACTCAAAAGCAAAATAATTTTTTTGTCTAAATTATGATTTTTGAAAATAATCATGACGTTATAAGAGACTAGAATTAATTTTCATAACATTAACCCTCATTTCTTCGTCCGATTTCACCCCTCATTCTTATTGATCGAATGAATAATTAACTACGATAAATTTTATTATCTTCCCTTATTCCAAAAATTACTAGTACTCTAATAGAAATGGTTGTCATCACCAATGTTTCCCAGTCAGATTTACGATTACTTAGTTGGGCCATTGCTTTCTATAAATCCATCGGTCTGGCACCGATATCGGTTGTATCCAATCCAATTATTCTGAACAAAAAATCCCAGGTCAGTGTAAACTTTACATCTTCTTCATCAACAATTTTCCTAAACCTCGTCGGACACATCACACTCCTGCCCATTGAACTTTGGAACCTGTACAATAGCCTTTCTACCGGAGTTCCTGAAGGGTGGAATGCCTTTGAACACTTCATCCACAACTTCTTCGGAATAAGTGTCATCCTGATTGAACTGGTCTTTATCTTGATCTTCAGCTTCAGGTACCAAAAAATTGTCGGAATACTAAATAAATTGCTGTCCTTCAAAAGTAAACTCGTAAAATCTCAAAGTGATTTAAACGAATGTAGCGGGCAGTTTCACCAGGTTGTGATCTTTACGGGGTATCTGTTAGTGTTGATTATTTTATACTTCGGAAGATTAACGAATCTGGGGTAAGGCGATAAGATTGGGATGATAATTGCAGTGTTATCAAAATTCATAGTTCGAAATTTAATGATCCAGTACAGTATTCTTCTGGTCCCGAGAAAAAATGTTTCTATATATTAATCATATATAATTGTATATAATCATATATGATTATATATGGGATCACATAAATAATTATATAGAATTATATATAATCATATATAATTATATATGACTATATATGGAGCAATATACAGCTATGCAAGATTGTACATAGTCCCATATATAATTATATATGCTTATATATAATTAACATACATAAATAGTATATTACATACCTAGGCCAGTAAAATAAGAAAAGTCTCAGATCACATGTAATTGTTGGCCGAGGCGAAGCCGAGGTTGACAAACATGTGATCTGAGGCTTTACTTTTTACTGGCCAAGGTGTGTATACTATTTTTCTGCTCGACGTAGCCGGAATGTGGCAACTTTGTTTAGCGCAGCGGCCAGAAAGTTGCCACTTTCCGGCCGGAGGGCAGAAAAATTTCTTCTTTGAAAAAAAAATTTTTTTTGGTAATCACGAAAAGTGTAAAATGATGTTTATAATTACGTTTAAATAATTCTGAAATACAAAATTTGTCACATTTCCTATGAGATGTTTTGTCTGCTCTGCTACTACGTAATAGTAAAATCATTATTTATTTTATTATTTAAATAAGTGTTATATTATAATGAAATTCGGTAAGATAAATAAATTATGAATTATGACTATCCAAATATATTATAAAATCAATTTTTATATTATATTTATGATAAACTCATATGATACATTAAGTAGATCATAGAATCATTATTGTCTAAGATAGCAGCACAGCAGACAGAAACTTCAAGACGCACGGAGATCACCAAAGTTAAGCAGCATTGAGCAGGGTTAATAGTTGGATGGGTGACCACTGGTGTTATAGCCATAAAATTAGATCTAGATATTTTTTTTGCATTTTGATCGGTTACACAGAATTGCGTAGGAGCATATTAAATACTCTATCCATAAAATTAACCCAATAATTAATTAGATGTAATAAATCTATAATTATACATAATTATATTTGGCCATTTTTCATATAGAATCATATATAACCAATTTATATATAATTATATATAAATATTTTTTCTCGGGGTATTCATTGAAAAAAAATACTTCAGCTTGAACGAATCACTTTTGCTATTTTTAAACCAGGATGACCGACTTTGGTATTTGAATCTGGACTTAGATACTGTACAAGAGGAAAATTCTACGGATTACCAAGAGTTGATCTTTTTACAAGAAGCCTATTTCGATTTAAATGAAATATTGCAGACGATATTACGCAGTTCTACTCAATACCTATGGTGATTTCGCTAGGATATTTTTGCCTAAGTGCTGTTTTCACTGGGCATGGAATGATCAAATCGATGATTGGTTACATCAAAGTTGACAATTCGTTTAGTTTAAAACTCTTTGTTGGGTATGTTTTTCTTTTTGTGTTATGCATCTATCCCACTATTTGTTTGACCAGTTGCGTCACTTCTGTCCTAAAAGAGGTAAGATGAATGTGCTGGCTTTTCTTCTCAATCAAACATTATTAATTCCATTTCTCAGTAACTAATTATCACATAGAGAAAGAGAGAGTAGTTTTAATAATTGCAAAAATGGTTTTTTGAATAAAAACAATTTTTTTTCTTTCGTTGATAAACACGGGTATTTTGTCTGCAGTTGTTTTGTCGTGATACCATTACACAAATAGAAAGGTTTGTTTGATTCAAGAGAAAAAAATTTTATAATAAGGAAAAACAATAAATTTCTCGCCAGGAGAAAAAATTCTTGAGTTAAAATAAAACTCTTGGCTTAAAAAAAAATTTTTTGACTCAAGAATTTTTTCTCTCGTCCCAAAAAATTTATTGTTTTTCCTTATGGTGGTCTTGATTCAATAATTTTTGTCTTGAGTTCAGTTAACCTTTCTACCAATGTATTAAACATCAATTTTATCATATGAATTCATCTTTGGATTTAAGATGAAATATTAAAATACATTTAACTATTTAATTATAATGTTTCTTTATTTAGAAGCTAAGTGATTTCAAAACTTTTCTTCAATTGTTTTTTGACGTAATAACGTCTTATAAATTGATTATATAACACCGACAGCACTCATGAAAAAATGTCGCGTTCCGACAGACTGTTCCGCTTTTGTGTTCCTCCTAAGCGTTCCGCCTGAGCCTATAAGTGCAAGCGAGAGCGTGCAACAAGCGATATGTCCCACGTGCGCAATTATCACTTATTCGTAAACGTAAAATAGGTGATAATTCTGGATTACGTTCTGAACCTGACAACGTTCCTGGTCCCTCTGGTCACGATGATTATGATAATATTAATTTTCAAAAAAGTAGTAATGCAATGATTAATTCCGCTCAAGAAGATGATGATGTCGGTGAAGAAAATATTGATGAAAGAGCTACTATAAGAGAAAGCGATACTGATGATAATAGTAATCGACTATCAACTTCTGAGAGCTCTGACAGTCCTTATCCATTATCACCTCGTAAACGTAGAACACTTGATAATAGTAGATTACATTTTAAACCTGGCAACGTTCCTGGTCCCTCTGATTCCAGTGATCATGATTATATTAATTTTCAACAAAGTAGTGATGAGATGATTGATGTCGGTCAAGAAAATATGGATGAAAGAGCTATTATGACAAAACGTGATACTGATGATAGTGATCGACCAGGAACTTCTGAGGATCTTCAATCTGATGTTTAAATTCAAGACGATTCATCTCAATCTTGATCTTGATCTTTTTCTTAACATATTGCTACGAAAT